TTTATTCGGGGCAGGAACCATTACCATAGAAACCCGAAACCACAGATATTCAAGATGGTAATCCTGTGCATACTGTAATTACAATTGAAAAACATTTTTTCCCCACAAAAAAAAAAATGTATTTGGAAGGGTCTATTTCTTCTTTCTATCGCAAAAGACACGAGTAACAGGTAACTCTCGCACGCATGTTACAAGCGAGAAAGAGAAAAAAAGCAGACAAACTTCACATCTTTCCAGGGAGGACAACCTCATTTGGAATACTGAGACTCAATCATTTTTAAAATTCTTGCAAAAGGATCGCGACAGAAAAGTGTAAGTCCAGTGATTGAAAATCATTTTGACCTACCCCGACTAGTCCCCGAACTGATTGTTCCTTTCAAGGGGTGGGAAAGGGACAATTGAGCAATATTAACTACTTTCACCCTACTACCAAATTCACGGCCGAAATGTGAGAGAACCAATTCACTTTCCTCGATACATCGTGTTTAAAGGGGAAAGGTTTGTGAAAGACTCCATACTGGAAAGCAAAATCCACCACAAACTACGCTTCGAGGCAAGAGTACCCAAAATACATGATTGAAAGATCTTTGTCCAGGGTTAAACTTTGCCTCAAGACAATCGGCTATTACACATATACAAAAGCCGAAAGGCTTATTTCCCTTTGTCACACTGTACCACCCAGCAGTTTAAAATTTAAAAGAAATAGCAATGGAACACTGATACACAATCAGCCCTTGCTGAGGACAATTTTAACCAAACCTCCAATAATCTCTTACAAAAAGGGAAAGTCCCTTCAAGACACACATGTGAGAGCAAAAATATAATTTGATGGCAATAATGCAACTCGACCACAAAAGCCACGTGGGGAGTCCGTGCCAGTCTGTCTATAGCTTACTTCTCATTCGTCACGTAATTTCACACCTGACGTGCACTACAAAACAAGATGTTGCTCTCCCTCCCCTAGAAAGGCACATTCACAACTTATTTCAGTCAGGGGTACTGTTGGGGGTACAGCCATTCTTTCGGATATCATGGCCATGGTAATAACTAACATGTCAATATGATATTTGATTATCATCTCATCTTGTTTTGAAGCAGATTATTATTAAAATTAATGAACAATATCATGCTTCACAGCAGATAAGTATTACACTTGATAAGAATCTGCCGCAAACAGCATCATAAGTATCAATGTCATGATAACCTGCCTAGTACTGCGTCAGTAATTTTGCCAAAGTTGGCGCGCCATACAAGTGTGGTTTGTGCAATGCAAACTATGTCGTGTAATAGTAAATTGGCCACCGTTACGATTATAAAAGCTGACGTTTCAAGCGTTAGCCCTTCGTGGTGTAATATGTCGTTACGTAATGACAATGTAGAGTATCGTGTAGGTTGTGGAAGTAATCGATAGTAAGTCATCTGCTGTAATCAAGTTTATTGTAAACTATACTTTGTTTGTGGTGTGTTCTCAGTAAACTATTGTAAGCAACGTACTGTAACTGAGTCCTGTAGTGTATTGTAAGTAGAGTAATGTTTTGTAAAATGCCAAAAAAAAAAAAAAAAGAAATTCCAAAAAAAAAAAAAATGAAAACTATGTCGGGTACACATGCCAACACCTCTATCAGCACATTGAGGAGCATATAGGATCGTCTTCAATCGAGAAACACATTAAAGAGCAACATGGAACAGTCCCAAGTGACATATATTGTGATTTTCACACCTTGAGAAAGTGCCAAAGTAAATTTGATTGCCTGATCAACAAAATGCTCTTTATAAAGGAGCTTGAGACAACTTTGAACAAACAGTCTGATTCAATCTGTGCAAAGTTACTTTTATAGGTAGGTACTTTATCATCTTAGTACTTGCATTTTAGTGCTTGTAGTTACATATTTTATCATTAGACATTCTCACACCCTAATTTCTACTTATATATGTATATTTCATTTGCTTTTTCTACAGCTCCAAAATAATCTCTGCAACATCAAAATGTCGTTCTTTATCACTTGTTTTTATTCTGAAATGTTTTTCGAAAAAACTACTTATAAGAATTTAATCTTCCTTCCTCCTTTTAAATCCAGTAAAAAAGTGGTACAAATTCAAAACAGTAAAAAGAAGACAAATAATATAGGGTATCATGTGCATAGGGATCGCTACAGCATGGGTCACAGCAATGCCCAGTACAAAGCATAAATACACCAGCAAACGAGGTACCTTTACTAGAGGGTCAAACACAATCATGTTCACACCAAGAACAACTGAAAACAGAGTTGTGTGATCAGATGAAAGATGATAAGAAAATGGCAGATTATTTGCCCAAACCACCAATGCTGGAAAACTTATCAAAATTACTAAGAACAATATAATGCACATTGTCAATCCAATGTTTACCTGGCTCTCTAGTAAAGCTAACATTGTCTTGATTTTCTGTTCACATTGCTTAGTCTTATATCTTTTAAAAAGAGCCATGTATTTCCAGGTCTGCCAAAGACACCTAAAAAAGGTTAAGAGAAGGCCCAATGTCCCACAGAAAACAAGTGATGATATTACAATGGCAACTGTCCAAATCCAATCCTTACCTCCTGGCTGCCTTTGAACATATGGTAGTGATTCAAAGTAACTCAAAATAAAACCACCAAAATTAGTCACCATTCCCATCACTACAAATAATGCAATGACGATAATGAGGGCTGTAGATATGATCAGAATCAGAGGTAGTAACCAAATGTAAGTCTTCAAGTCATCAATGTTGGGGAGCCAATCATGTTGACCACTCTCACCACTGAGTACATAAAATGCCAAAATTAGCTGTGAAGAAAAGAAATGAATTTGTACAACAAGAAGCACAACTCTGAGACTCTTTGATGCACTTGTAGCCAGACTAAAGAATGATTCACACTGTTTTTCATACACCATTGAAGACAACTGCCATGCAAACACTAGCATGACAACAGAAAATGTCCAACAAGGAAGCTGAACTGCATAAAATCTGTATATCTGCCCAAGTGTTTGAAAGAAATCATATTTAGCACTGATTCTATATGAACACTTTGGGTCTAGCCACATATGTATCTGGACATGTTGCTTGTTTCCTATTGGTTTAGGGTGATGCAGTTTCAACACAAGTTCAACTGAACCATTGCTTGAAAATCTGTATACATCTTCATTGAACCAGGGAACATGAATCCTTGTTACTAATAATGACTTTCTAGCATCACAGTCTAATGCTTCAAAATGAAAAACAAAGACCCTCCAACTCTTTACAACAGACTTTAAAGTTATGTTAGCAAACAGAGAATCAGAGGGAATAACAAGAACTCTTGATTTTATAGATAGCACTCCAGGTAATTGCATGTCATACACTAAACTACCAGAAGATTGATACTCAGACCAGACAGAAGTTCTTTTCCTGGAAGAGGACACAATAACTGCAAAATAAGCTATTCCTTCAAATGCATTGAGTTTCAGCTTCACATGTTTAATTACTGATCCATTCCATGGAAGGAGAGAGGCATGGTAAGATAAATCAACAGTGCTGTTACAAGCTTGACCAGAGGTCTCTGGACATCCATACAACCATTGGTCAGACTCACTAGTTGTCAGTATCATCAAAGTATCATGTGTTGCAGACCATTCATCTCTGGGAAACAGTAAAAGTATTTGTTCATTTCCTGTGTATCTCCAAAGCCGTTTGTGTGTAACCAATCGATTAAAATCTTTAGCTAAATATCTTTCTCTGCCATTTATGTTTCCAACACTATTGAAAGTAACCTTTGATGGACCTGGATTTCTCAGAAAGTGATGCTGTAAGACTGCAACTCTTTGTTGTTTATTTTCTGTTATCTGTTGCGTATTTGGATCTATCATATCAAATAATGCACGATTGCTCACCAGAACTAGCTGTTGGCACCAACAGAGGCAAAGATGGTCCACACTGATCCATACTCTTGGCACAGAAGTTGTAACTACACTTATGGTTTGAGAATGTAGGATCAGATGGTGCAGTGATGAAGGGCTAGATCTCACCAACACATCTCTTACACCACCACTCACAGATACCACAGTTACATTCTTCATTCTTGATGTGGTATCATTTACAAGTGCATGACTTCTCCAAAACCTATTAACATTTTCGTAATAATTTATAAGTTGTGGATCAAAAGGCAGAATGGGATGGCGATGAGGTGTTCCATATGTAATGATGGTGTGAACAAAACTTGTATCGAACTTTGGCAACGTAAATAAACCCCTGGCAATCAAACCACCCATAGAATGTCCGATAAGTATAACAGAAGTTGGTGGACTGTCTGTATTCTTATACAACCAGACAATGCGTGATACGCACAGTCTTACAAATTCAGTTTGTTCATTCAGTACTCCTCCAAACACACCGGACAATGATTCATCAAAATCAGCCGTAAAATAATTAAAATGCGATCTCAGACCCACTGCTTTCCGCAACGCCACTGATGCTAGGGAACGAACTTGTTTGTAACTTCCTGCATTACCAGGAATGAAGAGAACCGGAATCCCCCCAAGATGAAGACCTTTGGATTTATCTGCGTAGTCTCCTTCTCCATAAAGATATAAAGCATACCTAGGAAAGCGTTTTGTAGTTCCTTTCCACATGGGCACTTTGATGTACTGAGGCCATTCGTACATCCAAGTCATATCGCATCTGTTCTCCTCCAAGTTGGATAGAAAATCCCGAAAGCCAATCAAAACAAACGCAGTAAAGACGGCAAACCATGTGATTAAAATCAATTGTTGTGGTCTGAAAAGGCACCAACTCATCGCGAAAGGAAGATGTGTGCACTGTGTACAATCACCGTGCCACGCGTCAACTAAATCTGTAAGGTTAAAAAGAGGGGAAGAAACATCGTTACTTTGCGTGGTTACAAAGCAGCGAGCTTGCTTAGTCTATTTCAAAGTTAGCTACCGCTGTAAAGTTAACGTCTACAGGCTAGAAAGCTATGTCTGGAGGACGAGTGAAGTACGTGTGTGACCAAGACAAGTCGGTTTTAGTGAACAATTTCGAGAAAAGGGGATGGGTACCTTGTGCCGAAGACGAGGACTGGAATTTTTATTGGTGAGATGGATTTATACTTTGGTGAAATTTGAGTTTCTTAACAGTTATGGTCCGATGTAAATGTTATGAGATTTTAACTCGCATTCTGCGACACTTCGTTGACATTGTTAAGTCCCTCAAAGGTCATCTCGCCCCAACTCGTGTCGCCCGAAATAAAAATACAAATCACCCGTTAAAGAAACGTCCATGGGTACGAATATCAAACAGACAGTGCAACGCTGCATTTTATTGTTACAAAAACGAGCAAGAGCAACGCATCACTGTTGTTAAAACCAACTACGCTTTTAGAGTCATTACTCAAACATATTTCAATTCTTACCATATGATCGATTTCTCCCTAGTCAAAGTCTTCATGGTGCTCTTAGAATTCAATACCGCTTGAGTGATAAAGTTTCTTAAGGTTACAAAACGTCCACGAGTGCGAAACGAGTACATACCAAACGAACAACACTTCATTTTGTCGTTAGAAACAAACAACGGCTTTAGAGTCGTTACTCGAACATATTTCTATAGGTGGTTTTCAATCAATCTCTAGAGACGCGGGTAATGCACCGCTCAAATGGGAGCTTAAGCAACCACGACGACGAACGGAGGACGACGACCGGAAGTAGCGAGAACGTCACTGCGGAAGCGCGAACCAAGAATTTTGTCGTCGTCTTATCGTCGACGACTTGAGATGGACCAGTTTCACATCGTCGTGAACTTCCGAACTTCAAAGCAATTTTTCTCATCAAAAGGTGCGGCTTTATTGTCGTTTTTTTGACAGTCTATGGCCGGTTGGAGTTTGTATTCGCTTCTACGGTTGATTTAAACCTCCCTGTTCAGTTTTCTAAACAAATAAAATTCGACAACCCACTAACTCATTTTCCTTCCTCCACACAACATGTCAAATCAAGCGGTGAAAGCGACCACGTTAGGTTTAAATTTATTTGAGTATATTTTATGAAAGAGTGCTGTTTATCGTTTTTATTGAATGAAAAGGTGTAAATGGCAGTGAAATACACTTCTGCGTTCGGTCAAAAGTTGTGTGTATGGAACTGTCGGTTTATTGCTACTAAAAAATTTTGCGTGTTGCTGTTCTTCCATCGAGACGCTTTAAACAGCAAAGAATTCTTCACATCGGTGTGTCAACATGAGCGTGAATACCTCTCAGGTTTTGCGAATCTATTTTCGAAATGTTTGATAAAGATCTATATTTACAGCCATAAAAATTATTCCGACAAAATCACACGGGAAAAAATA